AAATTTTAAATCTAATTTTCTCAGTAAATGCCAGCATTTTTGAAACCATATGAGAATTATGCCTTGTACCTGACTTCTAAAAAAATCGAACGGGGATAAACTTTTTCATTAGGTCATTGAAAAGAAAACAAAGGAGGGTGTCTTTTTACTTAGATTTTTCCTCGAAAGGTATTTCAAACTGCAAAATATTGATGCGTTAGCGTCTCCCTAAGTTTTTGGGGCTCCAGTAATTTCCAAGATGATTTCCGTTGCCACGGAAACAATTGGTAAAATTCTGAAATTTTAAAGAATTTTAATATTATAAAAACATTATAAAAACTAGTAGACTAGTTGCTTCCCCTGCTTTAAACTACAATATTGCACAGTTGGTGTCAGTTCGTGGAAACAAACGATTGCTTGCAAAGCAGTGTCTAGTTCTACATTGAAATCGTTCAGTCATTTATTGAGTGTCTCTACTTTTACACTCTCAGTTTCCTTGTAAGTTTATCGCTTTATGGGCCTCAAAAACATCAGAGGTGGGATAAGGTGTCATGGAGGAATGAGCATCCCCTGCCGACCGGTCACACCCGCTGTGTGCCCCTTGTCATGATCGGGAAAAACGGAAAAATCTGTCGACAATTCAGTGTGTAAATAATGGCCTAACAATTCGTATGAAAAAGGTCAGTGAGCATTTGATTTAATGATAGATTGTATTTGCTGACAAGGTCATTGTATCAACCATAGAACTTGATAGACCATAGAACTCAATCAATATGATTGCATGTTATGCTTAATAAAAGTTAGAGAAAAGCAGAACTAATGTAAGTCATAATGTAACTAAATGTGAAAAATGGGTCGATAAAACTCGTTCAGATAAACATTTTACATAGGTACATTTAACCAAAAAAAATCTTAAACAGTGTATGAATAATCTAATTCTATATGTTATATTTTCTTACACGTGACTAAATACATTTATGACTCAGCTGGTTAGACAGAGGCATTATGTCTCATTATGCACTCTATGTGATCTCATGTTAGGTGGGCTGTCTGCTTGTAATGGGAGAATAAGAATCTAAAAAAGGACAATCTGAATAGACTTATTATTCGGAAAGATCAGACCCCATAAAACAGCAATTAAAAAATTCTCTACGTATAATATATTGACATAAATATGCATTTCATTCCACAATAAGTCACTCTAGACAAATATTTTTTCAATAGGAATCCTGAATAGTAATACATATTTCCAGGTAATTCATGTCAAAGAGAATCGGTAAACAAACAAGATAATTGCTTAAATTTTCACATTAGACAGGGGAGCTAATCAAATTGATGGTGTCACATAATACATATAAATATGGCGGATTACGTTCCAGACACAGGCACTTGTTTCGGTAATAAAATTTTTAACCCATAGTATGATAATAACACAAGGTAAAGATAACGAACAATGATAGATCTAAAAAAAAATAAAAATACCTACAAGCAACACAAATCTGTGATCAGTGCCCTGGAAATCCCAGAGGTGGGATCAGGTGCCTAGGAGGGGTAAGCATCCCCTGTCGACCGGTCACACCGGCCTTGAATCTTATGTATTCCTATGACATTCCCTAGTCAAACTTAGTATAAAAACAAATGCTTAACAATATTGGTGTGAAATATGTCAGTCAAAATACGAGCCAATTATAGGTTATATTTCACAACAAGGTCATTATAACGACGTAGAATTTACGAAATACTGACTTTTAGCTTGGATGTTGAAATCCCTGTATCATCAACTTATCTGTTAGTAGCCTGTCTCAATTTAAAAATTAATCTTACTCAGGGCATGCTATGGGGTATCGAATAAGTTGGGAGACATAAACACCATATGCAGGTGATAGCGGAATATTACTACATAAATAAGTAAAGTTAACGATGAAAAAGCTGAAGTCATCTCATTTGTCATACAATTTAATTGGTCGTTGACTCTTAAAGTTTATAGTCAGTAAAACCTCCAGTAATATAAAACAGATGTGTCAGACCCTGTGGTGTCTTTTATTTCAAGTTCATTGAGATATATTGTTTGTTTTAACGTCCCTTCGAGAATTTTTTCACTCATGTTGAGACGCCACCACTTGCAGGTGGAGGGCTGCAATTTAGACCTGTACTCGCTTATGGCCTTTGAGCAATGAGGGATTTTTTTCGTGCCAGCACCTACTGCGACAAAGGAACTCGGTTTATACGTTCTCATCCGAAGGAGCGGTCTAGCTTCACGTCCCGCAGTAGGATTCGAACCCGCAACGTAAGGATCAACTTACTCCGCGACTCTGAAGCAAACGCTCTAACCACTGCGCCATGCAGGCAACCATTGGGATATATCGAGTCGACATATTAATGGAAGTAACTATTGTTAATTGATAAAACATCGTCGACGATATATCTGAATGTCTAGTTGAAGGCCACAGCAAGTGTTTTCTTTTTCTCATGTAGAAGTTTATGAATAAATTTACTTTGTAAGAATAAAAAAACAAGTCGGCTAATAAAGGAGCGCAATTAGTGCCCATTTAAATTCCTACAATTTGTTGGAAGACCTGGTCTCCGAAGACTACATAATTGTTGTCAATGAGGAACTCCAGCATCCTTTTAATATCAACTTCAGTGTAATTTATTGTAGAATCGGAGTGATTTTAACAAAGTAATTTTGTTGATGGCCAATCACAAGATAGGAAAATTTCCGAGTTCCATATTTATTGAAGAAGCAATTGCTTATGATATCAAAAAGCTTTGTTTTTTTTTTTTTAATTTATCGCGAGGAATGGTTATTAAAGTGTAGAAAAGTCGTACGTTTCGATGTTAATAACTTTAGAAAAAATTGGTGATTTTTAAATTTTCTAAAAGCTCTTTGGAGTTTTTGAAATTCTGTACATCTGATATACACCACTTCTAGAATACGTTGAAGCACAGTACATGAACGTATGAAGTTTTTTTCTTTACAATAGTTAATATTTTTGAAAGGAGCAAAGATATCTAGGGTTGCTAACCAAGCTTCGCTTCAGATTTTTAAACTCAAAAGGAACCATCAACTTTTAGTCATTTTGTAAAGTTAAGAGTGCATTTCGATCTAGGACACAGTAAAAGGTAGAATCATATGAGTAAGAAATTATTCCGAATTGATGGTATTTTTTATCTCTGTTTTTTAAAGCTTACATAATACGTTGAACAGAAATCTACCATATTGGATACAATATGGCTGTTTTGCAAAACTAGATTTCTCTAGATATTCAAGTAAGAGGGTGTCCGATCCATGGCGAACTAACCCTTAATTTATAGATCTAACCAAAATTTGTCTGTTCTCCTCATTCGAAATATTCTCTGCTCTTGCAATTTGTTTTAAATATGTGTATGTGTACCTCTTGTAACATTTATATCGTTTTTTAAGGAATGAATGAATGAATAAGCCATCATGGACACAGGGGCAAACTCGCTAAACTTTTATACAAAAGTAGGCTACGCAAAGGTATATAACTCTATCCATTTTGTAAAATTTCGATGGTGTTGCCATCGAATTTAAAAAAAAGTTATTCTCCAACAATTTTGATTTGATTTCAATAAAAATTGGTACAAGTTATACTACACTGTGATATAATTGTAATTCTCTACATCTATTTTTCATTTCAAGAAACGGTTGTCCCATGGTAATTAAAAATAGTAAGTTCCGTAAAATTCTTTCAAAATATTACCTCTCTTACAGCTTCGGTTCCATTTCAGTAAACCAATAAAACATAATAAAGTACATAAAGTTAGACAAAATTGTTTATCGACTTTGATTTATTCAAACAATGTTACCATGGTTACTTTAAATAATTTATATCAAATATAATTCTTTAAAAACGCAACTCTTCCAACAGTTTGAATCGTGATAGACAAGTACACTATATAAAGATGCATAATTCTCCCCATCGGTTTCTGATTATAAGAGCAAGAAGAATTCAATATGAAAATGATGGTCTTACAATTAATTTGAAAAATGTCAGTCAACATTCGACCTAACAACAGATTGTATTTGCAAATTAGATCATTGTATCGACTAAGGAATTTGCGAAATGTGGATTTTTAACGAGATACTTGATACCATTTTATCATCACCTTTGTCAGAAGTCTATCTCAGTTAGAATTGTTTGCAAGTAGGACGTAATCTTGTACATCAAATGAACCGGAAGTCGTAAGTACTATTTGCAGGTGATACTGGTAATATTGTTGCATATATAAGGGAAGTTGGTGACAGAAAAGTTGTAGTCATCATATTAATCATTATTTAGTTTGTCATCAATGTCTTTTTTTTTCAAAGGCAGATCCATGGTCGGCGCGCCGGGCGCACGCCCCCCCCCCCCCCCCCCCCCCGTTTGAATTTTTTGTATGTAGAACTTATATGTCCATTATCCTAAAATCAAGGAAAAAACATCTCATTTGTAAGAATTCAACAGCTTCCGGGGCCCCCGGTCCCCCACCAGGGCTTTGCCCTGGACCCAATGGGGCTTCAATGCAGCCCCCCCCCCCTCCCCCCGTTATGAAATTCCTGGATCTGCCACTGTTTTTTCTAGAAGAACGTCCTAATATGAAACTGCTGCGTCAGACTCTGTGATGTCTTTTATTTCAAGTCAAATGGGATACTAGTACATCAAACCGAAGTATGAGTGAAAATGATTATTGTTAATTGATAAAACACCGTTGATATACCTAAATATTGAAAAAAGGCTAGAGTAAGAGATTTTTTCATGTAGAAGTTTTTGATTAAATCCTGCTTCATAAGAATACACTTGTGTATAAAATAAGTTTGTATATGACCAATGACAAAATATAATGCATGTTCCATTTTGATTGAAGAAGCAGTTATCTATGATGTCAAAAAGTCTGGTATTTATAAAGTACATGTATATGGGGAATGGTTGTGTAAAGTGTTGAAAAGTCTATGTTTTGATGCTATTGATTTTAGAAATTTTGTTATTTCAAATTTTCTGTAAGAAAATAATGATAAATAAATTGAAAATTCAGTGATTTTATTATTACTTCAAACTACAATACAATACCAAAGATAGCTTTAAATTAGACAAAACAATCAAAACTATTTTAATTACTCATAAAGCTGATATTTTAAATCTTGTTTTTTGAACTGCTGAAATTTTTCCAATATAATCTCTCACTCAGAGTAAATGAAACATATATTGTCGAAATCTCTATTTGTATCTCTATAGAAACCAGATCTTACATAAAGCAATCCCACAATGCATCAATATTTACAAGTATAATCAAGGTTTCTGACACAGACCTTGGTCACCACCTAGAGAAAATGTATTTTATAAAATGACAACTGTTGTTACCGATAAATTCAACACAAGGTATTACTTTGATCACAACAGTTTACAAAAAGTGTCACACTTGACTATTTAGCGAAGTCTTTCTATAAATAGCAAGTTTTACAATTTACAGTAAAACACGCTTATAATGAAGAACCAGAGATGAACAGTTTTGTTTCGTTATAAACGTAATTCGTAATATCCATATAGTTCATAAAACATTTTAAATCTACAGGGAAGGAAAACCTCTTTGCTGTAAAAAGCATGTCCACTATAACTGTGTTTTACTGTATAGACTACATTCCTTTTATTGAATGTCACAGAAATAAGAACAGTATCACATGACATTTGTATATTTCATGAAAAAATATATCTATCTGGATGTCACAAAAATGAGAGTAGTATCACATGATAAAAATGAGACATTCTTTGATGTACTCGCAACATTTTTTTTTGAATTGGAAAGGGGGGGGGGGGGTAGTATTACAGTCCATAAAACACTTACATTCATGTACTATGTAGTGTTTGCCCAGAGTAATTTTTTTTTTATCCAGTATGTCATACTAGTGTAAAAGTAGATTTTTACATGTTGTTAATTATGTGTTATTAGAAGTAAAAACATTACACTTACATTGATTATGTATAATTATTTGTAAATATTTACATTTCCAAATATTTTTCTGTTAGATTCTTTGCAAATTAGAAAAAGTTCATGTTCTCATGAACTACCAAGGGATGAGCAAGAATATTTCCATTGTGATGTGATTGAAGTCAAAAAATAGTGCAAACTTTTTTTTTCTTCCAAAAATGATTGTTGAATGACAAAAATATTTGGCAAGTCATCAGAAAAATAATGTAAATTTAAGATATGCATTTAATTTTTGAGAATTCATGATGTACATGAACTACAACGCTTCATGCCTGCATATTTATCATGAAGCGCTAACGCGTAGATATATATAGCATATATTACCCCCTCATGTACATTATAATGTTAATTTTTAGCATAGGAAGAAAGAAATAGTGTTAGGAGACTTTGATAATCAACAGATTCTGATAAAATAAAGCAACATGACAACTTTACTACTGACTAGGATTTTTTAAAATAAAAATCAAACTGAGATTTCCAGGTCCTTCTTACAAAAAAAAAAAAAAATATGATGGTGACAAAAAACTTTTTTGGTCAGTCCCAACATAATATATCAAACAATACAAAGTGTGAATCAATTTCACAAAAAAATGGACAAAAAACAGATAGAGTATCACCCTCTGGAGTATATACATAATTATATGTATATGTTTATAGATGAGATTCTATAGAGAAAGCATAGGAACAATGTACACAGTACTGATTATATGTCACTCTATCTGATCCCTCCAAAATCCCACTGAACATCACACAATGTCCTGTCCATCACAGATTCCCACGCTCAGCTTGGTCCAACTCAATAGCCTCAAATAATGACTTGAAATTTCCAGCTCCAAATCCCTACAAGCAAAAAAATTAAAAAACAAAGGTGTTACAGATATTTGACAATGTGAAATTTTCAGCTATGAACAAAATGTATCAAACACTGTACTAGATATGATAAAATACTTGAGTGGGGAAGCAAAGTTCTTTAATAAATTACATTAAAAATTATTGAATGTCCTCTGGTTGACCTTAAGGTGACCTGAGGTCAAACACTGACCTGGTGATTGTGTCTCTGAATGACCTCCAGGAAAAGGGTAGGTCTGTCCTGCATGATTTTAGTAAAGATCTGAAGTAGGTATCCATTGTCATCATAGTCTATCAAAATGTTCAACTTCTGAATCTAAATGAAATGAATGGAAATATGAAAACAGATATTGTTTTCTTTCCTTTAATCAAATTATTGCTGTTAGTGAAATTGTATATATTAACAGATATCATTAAAACCAATCTGAAACCTTTTTTTTCCTAAAACAATTTTTGTAACCCTCTAAATTTTATCTGGGACTCCCAAAATCTAAATATGGTCTTTAAAACCCTGTACCGGTACTTTCAGGCAGACCTCTAATGGTCAAACTTTTGAGTATTCATGTTTTCATCTTTAATGAGTGAAGCACTCAAGGGTCATTTTTTTAAACAGTTAGGTAGAGGATACACAATATGATGAACATCAATTATTATTAATTTTGAATAGCTATAAATAATTAGGAGTGGGACGATCCACCGGTGCACCGATGCATCACAGTATTCACTTTGACGATCTACAGATTGATTCATCTAATTTTAGTATCACGATACCTGACCGCACTTTTTTTTTAATTTCCAAAAATGTCCGGGCTTTAGAGTTCAAAATTTTTAGTCCTTTAGTCTGTATCATCAAGACGTTTAAACAAACACAAATAAAGTACAAACGTCTTGCTGATACAGAAAGCAAGATATAAGCGTCAAAATGGCGTCAGACACGCCGGATTATATTAAATTAACTAAAGATTTCTGATTAATTTTAATATAATTGACTGTAATTTGAGTCAAGAAACTTGAATTCACAGTTCATTTGTTGAATTAGTTTATTTTCATACACTGTTATGTTCCAAATTAAATGTTCTAAAAAAAATTTCTAGTTTTATTTGGTTTTAAATGTATCGTGATATGTATCGTATCGCACCTAAGGTATCATGATATGTGTCGGATCGGCTAAGTTCAGTATCGTCCCAGCCCTATAAATAATATACACTATTCATGAACATGAAATTATTTTCTCCTAGAAACTAAGTTTTAGGTAAAACAGCTGTTCCTTCAGGCCTTGTATTTTTACACAACCAAAAATGTCATCAATAAGAATTTCTGTGATCATAAAATACTATGTATACATAGTAGCATTTTTACCTAAACTTACAATTTTTTAAAACCAGTTATACACTTTATTGTCTGTATATTAAATACAACCCTGCGAGTGTTGTTACTTAACTAATTGACAGTGTTTTATTTTTCCTTACATAACTGGTAGTGAAAAATGGTACCATTCCAAATGCTAAAAAGTGTTAATATCTCCCAATTTTGAGACTAAAAATTTCCAATTCAACTGCCGATTAACAGACAACAATGACATTGTAAATCTTTTCATATGAAATCTTGTGTGAGTTAACTAAATGTTTTACTTCCTCTTAAATTGAAAGTAGAGATCAGTGGAATATGGTGGGATGCATGTTGTCAACAACATAGTCATGGAAGTGTCGTACATTTTCGACAACTTGAAAGCATGACAATGTGAGAACAAGGGACATTAATATGTAAAACAATGAATACTTGTCGATTATTCTTTAAAACGTGGATTAATAGGTAATGAGATAAAGATAAACACAAAATTAATTTCATTTGTTGATGCAACAGAAAATTCCCCTTTGTTCTATTTCGATGCTATTTTTCTCAATTGAATCAGTATCAGACCCTTTCCCAATGGGTAGGAAAAAATCACTGATTTACAAAGTAATGCAAATATGCTTGGTACTCACTCTGTCCATGTCCTCTGCTATTTTCACTTTTGATTTCTTTAGCCTCTCTCTGAGGTTTTTGTAGTAAGTTTTGGGGATTTCCAAGAACTGTAAACCTCTTTCACGAAGAATAGAAACCTGTATATGCAAAAGCAGCAAGTTAGAAAAAAAATAGACAGTTTTACTTCCTAAATCAGAGAAACAATTAAGAATCCTGACTAAAGCAAATTACCTTTACATAAGAGAAATGCCAGGCAAAAACTGCATTTGTAATTAAAATGAGAAACAATGTATACATGTATTTATATAAATTCATATATTTTTTTAATCCTATACATTTGAGTTGTGTGATATTTACCGTCTTGATGATATCATTGGTGTTCATTGCGATATGCTGGACACCTGCTCCACCATAGTAATCAACAAATTCCTGGAAATCAATACAAATCATTTAAATGCAAAATTTTAAATTTTTATGCAACAAAATCTTTTAAATAACAAGATCTACTGTTAGCCCATCAAGAAATGCAACTTTCTCTGAATTTTTTTCTTTAATCACTCATTTACAAGTCACCCAAATACAACAGGACAAAAAGTAATTTTAAAAAAATCAAATATAAAGTAAAACAGAATCAGAGGAGAATTCTACACAATTTATTGCTTCAGTTCAGAACTGACAACTGTAAAATCCTGTGCCTTTCACACTGGCTAACTATTTCAGTTTGTATTAAACAGAACCCCCCCCCCCCCCCTCCACATGCCTAATGCCGATTCTTCTTATCAGCACCTACTATTTACCCCTAGTGTTGTGACCATTTTCTGTACTGGAATGGTGTATTTTTCTGCCTTTGGGAACTTTTCAAACCTGTCTCTGATTTTCTTAATAGCATTATACAGACACCACATCTCATTCTTAAAATGATCTATTTTAGATGATCTCAATGATGTAAGGAAGTCTGACCTTTAAAGGAATTTTTCAATAGGGACTTATTTTTTTTTTTATTTATATCTACATCTGCTCATGGCTTGTTAATGGTATTGTATCTGTATGTATTTTGATATAATTTCTAATTATCCTACATCTTACTGTCATACAGATGTTATATTACTAATCAGAATCTAAACTTTATTTCCTTTTCTGCTTCACCTGAATCTGACTTTTCCGCTTCCCAGGTGCTGGTTCATTGATTGGCATCTTAATGGTTTCTTCATAGTTTGTGACGACTATGGAACGGAGAGCAGAGTACTCGGTGTGGATTTGAGAGTCATCAACGGACCAGAAACGGTGGAACATCAGGTTCTTTTCATACCTATGAAAATAGCAATAGTACTTCTGAAAACATAAATATTTCAGGGGAGACAGTTTACATGTTATAAAACATTCTGTATTACATTGTACATCTGAATGAACATGAAACAAAAGAATCTTAAATAAAAATTTTCTACCTTCAATACATTGAGCCTTTTTTCTTTTATCAAACATCTGTCTATTTCTGCTTCTAACTGTTTTAGATTTTGTCTTAGTCAAAGATATATCATTTGTTAGATATGAATCACTGCTGAAATAAGTTCATACACACCAGTCTGCGATGTCAGTCATTTCATTGTCAGGTTGGTTTCCCACAATGTGATCCACAAACTGAAGTTCTGGTTTAGGTCTGCAATAAAGGACATAATTGTACATTTATGTTCATTTTACAGTACATATCCATACACTTTTTTATCTAGATGTTTTTCTTCAAACTTGCCAAACTTCATTCTCAAAATCTTTTCCACTCTCTTTGACCTCAGTATGAAATAAGACCAATCTCTGATGTAGAATGTCACCCACACACTACTGACATCTGATTATCTATACAACAAGTCTAATAGAGTAACGTGCATTTTACTGTGTGTGTGTAAATAAAGTACAGTAAAACATGCTTATAATGAAGTGCTAAGGACAGAAGATTCTGCTTCATTATAAACGAGATTCATTATATCCATTAAGTTCAAAATGTATTTTAAAGCCATAAGGAATGAAAATCACTTGGCTGTATGCATCAATTCTTCATAAGCGTGTTCATTATAAGTGTCTTTTACTGTACCTAAAGTATATGATATTGGAAGCTACTTATCCTCAATCCCAGGTACCCTGGTAAACCATAAAATGTCGATGACAATCAGCAAAATATTCTCAGGTGTGTCTAAGTATTTTTAATGTGTGTTCAATCTATCTAGAAATACTGATAAATAATGCCGAATGAAAACTATAAAGGACTACATTTTCTTGGAGCCCTTCCTGTGTTTTGGATGGATGCACAAGTTGGACTTGGAAATTCCTAGACAAGCATCTGCACCCAATATAACCACTAGCAAACCAGCTGGACACAAAACCGTGAAATTAACAAGGACCCAATTGCTGGGAATTTTACTTACAGCAATTCAACAAGTGGATCCTTGTAGGTTGTAGCCCTATATCCAGGTAAGAACAAGCCTTTGTATCCAGACCTGTCAATCAGTGTATGTGTTGTGTCCCCATAGGTTTTGATGACGGCCATTTTGACTGTGCCATCGTCATCTGACTCTTCCCATGGTTCTTTTACAACAATGGCTCCCTTAGTGACAGCTCTCTATAAAATTTAAAAATTGTCTATGTTGATAGAGGAGAAATAACTCATGCATGTACAAAAAGAATAACTATTGCGTGGCTAAATTTCTGGAGATAATCCTGGTGAATATTGCTACGTTGAATGACACCCCCTGATGATTATGTTCAATGGGTAGGATATGAATGTGAAGACTGGTCTAACTCTGATTCATGGGGTGTAAAAGAAAATCAAAAACTGACCTTGAATATGGCCTGTAGGTCCTCAACCTCAAATGCAATGTCCTTGACCCCATCACCATGTTTCACAATATGCTCTCCCATCTCTTGAAAATGGAAACCAAACAGTAACATAAAGAGAAAGAAAAAAAAAAAGAATTTATGTAGTATACCAAAGACAAATTTCATTTTGAAATAATTTGTCCACAGTTAAAATTCCAAAAATTCTCCAGATGAGAATGTAGACTACTCATCATTGAAATAAATTTGATTTTAAATACTTTTTTGTCAGTCCTTTGTAAAAGCAAACCTTTAGGATTGTTGGGCTCTAAGGCAGACTGGAAGTTATAGATCATTTTGTTCTGTTTGACGACATGAGATACCACCTGTCTGCTGCCCGTCTCCAGACCTTTATAGGCAAAAGGTTCAAATCCCACACGGGTACAGTAGTACGAGGCCGCCTGTCAAATAGAACAATCTTCATATACATCAATAAATCAAAGATTTTTCAAAGTCATCTCAGCAAATTTTAACCTACTCTACCAGGTATAAGACAAAACAGGCATTTTCAAAGTATTAGAATTGACATCATTTTCGGTATCTTAGTGGTTGGGATTCAATCATTTTATGATTTATGGCATATTGTAACTGTCTTGTCTGTGTGTCCTGTCTTGTTTGTTCCTCATACAACAAAGAATTTAATTTGTGAATTCATAAAAGTTACGGCTGAGATTAAAGTTTCTTGAAACTGCATCAAACTTCGTGATCAAGACCATGAGGTCAAATACCATAATTCATTCCAAAAGGTCTTGTCAAAAGTAATGCACATGTGTAAAAAAATTATGACCAGAGTTAACATTTTAGATAAGTAGATCAAACTTCTAGGTTCAAGGACATGAAGTCAAAATTTTCTTTCTGAAAGCTGTTGTCACAGGTAATGTACATGTAAAATATGAAAGCCTCATCTTCTCTCATTCATAGGTTATTACTAATTTTTAAAAAGTACTGTAGGTTAAACCTTAAAAATAAGGTCACAAGGACAAAAACCATAGTTCATTCTGAAAGGTCATGTAACAGCTATGTAATGCACAGGTCAAATTTGAATGCCCTATATTCTCTCATTCAAGAGTTATCACCTATGTTAAAAATCTTGAAAAGTAGGTCAAACTTTGAGGGCAAGTTCATGGAATCAAAAATTGTAGTTCATTTAGAAAGGTAATGCACATGTCAAATATGAATGCCCCATCTTTTGATTTCATGCCCTTGATCTAGTAGTTTGACCTCCTTATCAAAAATTTATCTTTCAATGGCTGTAAATTTTGCTGAAGAAGAGACAGGACTTTCATATTTTTTCACATGTGCATTACTTGTGACAAGACCTTTTGGATTGCATTATATTTGAATTCGAAGTTTGATGCATTTTTGTAAGAAACTTTTAACTTTCATTGTGTCTTTTATTAATTCAAAAATTAATTTTTTTTATATGGACAGACATTAGACAGGACACACAGACAAGACACTTCAGTACAATATGCCATAAATTATTGCATCCCGCCCACTAATACACCGAAAGTACATGTAATGGAACCACAATTCTTTGAATTTGCTTGGTTTTTTAGTTTGCTTACTTTTAAACAAGTGAAGATCTTATCTCAAGACATTATTATTTCATATTTACTGCATTTCTTAAACATGGTTTTAAAGGGAATTTATGTTAAGCCTTATGTCTTTTACTATAGGCATCTACAGGTCAAGATCATCTTCATCTGCATGGCTCAGAACATCTTCAATACAAAATTTGTTTTGTATAATTTGCATCAAACATGGAATTGACCGATTCCAAACACTTTTTGACAGTGATGCTAACATATAAAATATAGTATTAAATCTTCAATTACTTTCAATGAATTTTAGGCTTAATATAGTGTGGTCTCAATATTAAATTTTCAAAAATAGATAAAATTTGTGAGTTAATTGAGCATCCTATCCTTTGAAATTTATCTTTGAAACCTTTTGTTTTATTTTTTTTCTAACTGAATCAAATAGGTATGTGCCTGAACAGAACTGTAAATAAGTATCTGCTTGCAGTGATGAATAATTCATTAATTTTTACTTTACCTTGTCATAAGTATTAAAAATATTTTCATTTTTTTAATCACAGCAGCATGTATTTACAATAATTAGTGGCTATAAATAAAAAAATAATAATTTGACATTTCACTATTGTAAACATCAACAATAATTGTTTACATTCACAGCATGGTATGTACATTTAACAATGGAAAAAAAAAAGGATATTGTGTCAAACACCGATTCACCATATTCAAAACAAATTTAAAGTCGTTCTGATAAAAATACTCTGCTGATGGACTTTCACCAATACTGAATCTGAACCATGAGTTTAAAGCCTCTAAACGCATAAATTAATGTGTTATAAATCATTGGATAACAGTTTTTATCACATGATATTCTCCTCATTCTAAAAAAGGGATTTAAGACACAAAATATATTGAAACTTTTAAATCTACCACCCAATCAATATTTGTGGGGCTTAACTGGTAATTATTTTACATTTGAAAATATTTTTTCTTTCCTCTTGGGAAAAAAGCAAACAAGATTTTTGCAAGAGTATAATGTGCAAGTAGTAAATGTACATCAAAATTGTGTAATCCATGACTTTTGATCAAGGTGTATGGCATCAGACTGGAGTCTGGATCGTAGGACTAAGTTGGTAAAACATTGAAAATATATAAAATATTTAAAAACACTTCTTCCTGGATATCCAGCTATAAACTGTTGAAATTATTTTGTGAGCAGTTAGCCCTATACAAAATTGTGAAGTTCGTAGTTCGTATCCTTGGGGTAAAGGGTTCAGTCTTAGGCATGGGACTAAATTAGTCGTGTATTGAAAATACACCTTTGAAAAAATCTTCTTTACTCATGTCAATTAGCAAGCAAACTATTTTCCTGATTTAAATGGTTGCTTAACTCCCTTACAGAAATGAAATTGACGTAATTCGGGTGTATACCCCAGAATAGGACTGTGTAGGTTATAGATAGAAAGTTCATATAGACTTTCTATTTCGCAATATCACGCCTTTTTAAAAGGTGTAAAAACACCTTATGAACGCCTTTTAAAATGCGTAATAACGACTTTTTGAAAGGCATTATTACGCCTTACCAAAAAGTTTTTATCGTGTTATAACGCCTTTCACTTTGCATAATAAAGCCCTTTACTTTGCAGTATAACGCCCCTGTAAAGGCGTACAACGCCGTCAGCTTTTTTTGCGTTATCACGCCTTTTTTGGCAGTATATTCGCTTTATAACACCCTTTTCCGCATTATCACTCCTTTTCACTTTGCGTCTTAACGCCTTTTAATATTTTTTTAGATTGATCCTAATAGGCTTGTTAAAATGTGCTAGTTTTTAAACATGAGACTTTTTTTTTAGCTTTCTGATAATTTGCTTTTCCCTGAAGCCTGTTGTTGTAAGTTCTGGTCTTCTATTTAATCGATCAACTGTCTCGTGTATTGTAGGTGACGCAAATTCTCTTAAAACGTTTGAGGTATCAAATTACATATTTGTGGATTTTTAATTATAAAGAGCGAGATTCACTTTTTGCTTAAATTGGTCCTGTCTATAGACCTTTTTATGAACGGTCACCCGAGTCCCGTTTCAAACATTGATATAAAGTAAACGCTTAATATTTTCTTTAAAATGCATTAAGATTTCATACGGTTTGCGGTTGGATAATTATGGTTTTTGTATTTTTTTTCCCTGGAGCCTTGAACACTGACATCTTAACATTGCCTAAGCTTTTAACCATGTTAAATGCATGGTATTTGAAAACTTACTGATAGCATATGTGGTATAAGTAACAAAATTTCATAAATTTGACATAACTGTAATTTCGCTCTCTTTACTGTTCTTTCTAAACATTTTTTCTATAATGCATTTCTCACCAATTTTCATTCATTATTTACTTATCCACGTGCTCCATTGCTAAAGATAGCGCCATGCAATTTTTCATACAAACGGGCAGTAACTCTAAACCTTCTAAAAAAGTGATAGGCATTCATAAACATTTTAACAAAAAAATAATAAAAAGAATTAAAAAAAAAGAAAAAGTTGGAATTTTTTTCTCAAGTTGTGATTGGAGTTGATCGACATCGTTCGACCAATCAGCAATTGTTTTTTGCAAATGACGATATTTGCATTCAGAATATATCTTGACTTTAATATCGGTAAGTAAAACGCAAGTAAACAATGATCCGTAAGATAACATACCATTCTATGAATAGCAATATGGTGTCATCCAATATCTTAAGCTACGTGCAAAATATATGATTAAGAATCTTTACTGAAGATGTAGATTTGCATTTTTACATGTTTAAATAACAAATTAACATAACTCGATACCTTCCTTGTTAATTATTCTTTAAAAACAAAATTTTTTTTACATACGCTTTTTATTTCTGTCGATGACGCAATCTGTGCGTACCTGGTAAGAATCATGATCATGTGACCAAAACAATTCCGTCTTTTGTCAGCACCGTATGCCAAGGGTTTATGAGGAGAGTAGCGTATCAGAAACCCTTGGCTAGCGAAGATGCCAGGGACCATGAAATTCACAATTTCTGAAGAGGCACTCTTGCTCATCATAACTATGTTCTTAGTTAGTTTCTTTAATACCCATGACCAGAAGAGAAGATTTTCAAAGAAATAATGCATTTTCACTATATAATCAATAGAGCCCTCCCCCCCCCCCTTTTCACCAGAACCCCTGACCCAGGGGCCATGAAATTCACAATTTTGGAAGAGGCTCTCTTGCTCATCATAACTATGTACTTATATACTTTATTTAATACCCAGGAGCAGAGAAGAAGACTTTAAAAGAATTAATGCATTTTCACTATATAATCAATAGGGCCCCGCCCTAAAACCAGAACCCCTGACCCTGGGGTCATGAAATTCACAATTTTGGAAGAGGCACTTTTGCTCATCATAACTATGTACTTAGTTAGCTTATTTAATATCCAGAAGCAGAGAAGAAGATTTTCAAAGTTTTAATGCATTTTCACTATATAATCAATAGAGCCCCGCCCTAACACCAGAACCCCTGACCCTGGGGCCATGAAATTCACAATTTTAGAAGAGGCACTCTTGCTTATCATAACTATGTACTTAATTAGTTTGTTTAACACCCAGGAGCAGAGAAGAAGATTTTCAAAGATTAATGCATTTTCACTATATAATCAATAGAGCCCCACCCTGACACCAGAACCCCTGACCCTGGGGCCATGAAATTCACAATTTTGAAAGAGGTACTCTTGTTCATCATAACTATGTACTTACTTAGTTTATTCAATACCCAGGAGCAGAGAAGATTTTCAAAGAAATAATGCACTTTACTATATGATCTATATAGCCCCACCCTAGCCCCAGAACCCCTGACCCTGGGGCCATGAATTTCACAATTTTGGTAGAGGGCTCAATGCTTATTACAATCATGCCAACAGTTTGACTGCTTGATGTCCAGGAGTAAAGAAGAAGATTTTTAAAGATTGCATAAATTTTAGTGGTTTTTGCCCCACCCCTCAGGCCCCAGGGGGGCAGGGACCATGAAATTCAAAAATTTTGTCCCCCTTCACCCATAAATGCTATACGCCAAATTTGGTTGAAATTGGTTGAGCGGTTTCAGAGAAGCTGAAAATGTTCAAATGTTAATGCACAACGCACGCCGACGGACAAAAACGGATAGCAATAGGTCACCTGAGTAAACTCAGGTGACCTAAAAAGGAAAAGAACATTTTCGAAGGTGAATTCTTTCTGGCCATAGAAACTTGATTCGGATGCTTGTCGATTACCTGTGTAACAGGAAAGGAGAAAATGTATGGCTGGACCGGGAATCGAACCCGGAACCCCTGCATGACTAGTCAGGTGCTCTACCGAGCTACCCAGGCCGATATCCACGACCCAGACCATTACATTCTTCCCTCCTTAAATTGTCTTCCCCCTCAAAGACACAACCCAAGTTCTTATTAGCCCCTGGCAGGACTTTCACCTGCAAGTCCAGGGGTGGTCATCGGTACCAAATCTGTAACAGGAAAGGAGAAAATGTATGGCTGGACCGAAATCAAACCGGGACCCCTGCATCACTAGTCAGGTGATCTACCGACTGAGCTACCCAGGCCGATATCCATGGCCCAAACCATTACATTCCTCCCTCCTTAAATTGACTTTGCCCTCAAAGATACAACCCAAGTTCTTATTAGCCCCTGGCAGGACTTTCACCTGCAAGTCCAGGGGTGGTCATCGGCACCAAATCTGTAACAGGAAAGGAGAAAATGTATGGCTGGACCAGGAATCGACACGGGACCCCTACATCACTAGTCCTCTACTGACTGAGCTACCCAGGCCAATATCAACAGCCCAAACCATTACACATGTGTTAGACATCATTACATTACTGCACTGAGTCTTTTGTTTTTTGTAAATCTTTCATTTCATAATTATAGAGAACATGTTAGAATTCCCCAAAATTACATGAGTACAGGAATATTAACCCTTATGAGGAGATATGTGCTCATATAGATCCTAAGCTTAGTGATTCTCAATTGTCACGCTTCATCGCATATTCACCGATCAATGACCCTGTTTATTTAGCACAATCTTTCTCTCAAGAGGAAGGTCCAAGCCAATCATAGTATAAGCACAATTAACAACTCAAGTTATTAGAAAGTAGCTGTCAGTACTGAAATGCAATAAAAATAATCATGGCTGCTGCAAATTTGACCATGGTGCAGCTCGTTTAACCATGGCCCAACATAATATATGTAAAACCCCTTGTGGAGAACCCAGCTAGAAGTCATGGTTTAAAAGAAAAAATCTGAAAATCTTTGTTTGAATTTTTTTTAATCTCACCTGCTTTGCATTTCCAACCCAGAAGGTAATATGATCAAAGCAGACAAACCTTCCAGACTCGGGCTGAAATAAATTTATAGAATAAAATACAAATCCAGTTTCACCTCATTAAAATGAAATATCCAGACATAGCATTCACTTAATACAAGTAAATGTTGACTGTTAGGAAAACGAAAAATTATATAATGCATACATCAATGTAATTTGGACATATTAAATTAAACAACATTCTATAACATTAAACAAGAGATGTTTGTGAAACACTTATGGCAATATCCCCCTTATCCTCTTGGACATACATTATAGGGTGCACAAGCCTTTATTATAGGCAGTGTACATGGCATCCTCACAAGCCAGGGGTCCCGAGTCAACACATTGCCTTTGGACCCCTGGCATATTTCATTCAATAATTGTGGGCTTGCTTCTCTCATTGAGAAGCACCAATCAAATTAAAGCTTTCATAAATAGTTAGATAAGGATTCAGTTGACACCTCAAATGCACGTTTTACAAGTTGTTTATCATAAAATGGCTTAATGTGATTGGTTGAGAGATAAGAAAAACAATCAAGATTTGTAATTTTTCCCAAAGACGTCGCTACAGTCAGCCGACAGATATTGAATGAAATATACCAGGGGTCCAACGGCAACGTGTTGACTCAGGACCCCTGGCTTGCAAGGATGTGTACATGGAAATGAAATCGACCTTTTGAACTTAAAATCAATAGGCGTCATCTACCGGTACTATCTCAGATGCATCAACCAGAAATAGTCTTCTACATCACAGTAATTATTTGTTCAACCTTTGCAGAGAAAATGAATTGGAAGTCAAGGGGGCATAACTCTGTCAAAAATTGCTCGATTGTACCAAATACAGAAGGTAACCTAGATATTCTTATGATAAAACTGTATACCAAATTTCATTTCAGTATGTGCAACCTCTGTGAAGAAAATGAATGAAAACTGCAAATAATTTTAATTTTCTCTAAGTCCAAGGGGCATAACTCTGTCAAAAATTGCTTGATCCCAAACTTGACCTAGATATTCTTATGATAAATCTATATACCAAATTTCACTTCAGTCATAACATTTATAGTATAGTAGATATATATTTTTAACAATTAAGCTGGGGAGTGCCTATGATTTCAGTATGTGCAACCTCTGCAAAGAAAATGAATGGAAACTGTTGGTGGACCGACAGACAGACCGGCCGACAGACAGCAGCAAAGCAATATGCCCTCCCTTCTTCAAAGTGGGGCATAAAAATAGCTAGCTGGAGTAGATTTAAATACCTAGGTATAGCTATAAGTAGCTACGTAGGTAGAAATAGTCTTTGGACTGGACCTGATGGTATACTGTAATCTTTAGAATTTTACCAAGATTTAAGTCAGTCAATCTTGTTATCTTTTTGTACATGCTTTACCATATTAATGAATCACAATTTACAACGCAATTCGGAATTGTGTAGAACGTTCTCAATTTTCAATCAGTTTTCCACGTTGTTTTGAATAACCTTGTTTACATGCTGCATTAGCAATATATAACACTCACCTTTGGTCCTTTATCTGTGTATGTCGTCTGAAAAGAAGATTTCATAAATAAAATAAGTCAAAATCTATGTAGATCAAAATGATCATGAAAAAATGTGAGTAAACAACCACCTTACCATTTTGTCCTTGTGAAAAACGTACTTTGAAGGTGTGTTTGTAACAACGACACCGATTGGACAAAGCAGACCAATCAAGTGTCTTTAATCCAAGCACACCTCTTATTCACTAAAGTCTCCCCTCCCTCTACCCTCCTGTCGTAACTAATTTTTTTTTTTCCAATCCGACCGATTTTTTGTGTAAACAAATTAAGAATGAATTGGTACAATGAAGGAGGATACAGTGCATTCGTTTCCTACAAAAAGGGGGGATGAAAGAGGCTTTGTTTAAATAATGTATTTTTTTCCTCGGAACTAAAGTATGGTTATTTCCACAGGAGTTCGCAATTTTATCAATAACGCTAATGCATAGCTCATGGCTTGGTCAATCGAGTGATTTCTATTAACTTTATTGATAAAATAGCGAACTCCTGTGGTGCCACGTAATTTCACGTAATTTTTAACGCGGCCGAGTCTAATTATTTTTACCCTAGATATTTTGAAAATTTTCTTGAATGAATTTTTACTATTATATTAATTACTTTAAGATAAAAATATCAAATGTCTTCCATCCCGATTTCTAAGAGGGCCATCTTCAGATTTTACTATATTGGACCTTATGCGAATTTATTGGAAAAGCGCCAAATTATCAAATTTTCCCCATATTTTTTTGTATTTCTGCCCCAGGGATTTCGTTTTCAGTCAAACACATGAAAGTTAATGTAAAATGTCACCAAATTGTGAAATTTCAAAAAAGTTGACCATCTGGTTTGGTCTAGGAATTATTTACAAAGTTTTTTTTTTCCCAATGCCCAATGTCTCTAAATTTGTCATAATGTCATTGTGGCATACATTTTGTATAATTATATTGGCGCAGATGAATTATTTTGATAAAAAATAACAACGTTTAGATTGCTGATATGTTTCTTTTAATGTTCTGTCAACAGTGTTTAATAAAATGTCCATGGACGTCTTGAATACTCAAGCGAGTCAAGCGTCATTCTTTAGCGTCAAGCATTGCTTACAGAACCGAAAAACAGTGACGTCGTGAAAGACATTTCAGCATTTATTCCTAAAATATTTACATTTCCAAATATGTTTCCTTAAGATTCTTTGCAAATTAGAGTATTGTTCATTTTCTCATGAACTACAATGGATGAGCATGAATATCTCCATTGTTACGTCATAATTAATACCGTACTTGACGTCAAAACTATAGTGCAAAGTGTTTTGCTTTAAAAATGACAGTTGAATTGTGGCACCTAATCAGAAAAATAATGTAAATATAAGAAATGAATTTTATTTTTGAAAATTCATGAGGTACATGAACTACACCGATTCACGCCGGCATATTTATCATGAAGCGCTAACGCGCTTCATAAAATATGCCGGCGTGAAGCGTCGTAGTTCATGTCCTCATGAATCTTCAAAAATTAAATTCATTTCTTAAATATTGTCTTAAAAGCACATTTTAAGACCCATAAAACTGATAAACTTTACAGATAATGCTCATTTTGTGTTACAATTACAATACTTGGATAGGTGTTATGTTGCAGATACGACTGCATGAAACTATAAAGCTGCGCAGTCATGCATGCTCACTGGAATTAGACTCGGCCTCGTTAAGTTGTAACAGTGGGACGGACAACTTCGGAATGGACATTTTTCCGAACTTGCGCACCCTTTTCCTTTAAAGCTATTATCTTAGGATTTTTTTTAAATGGTGGGGTTTTTATATTTAAATTGATTTATGAAATAAAAAATCCAACATTTTTAGCTAGTTTTTGAGATATTAAGTGGCAAAGATAAAAATCCAATGCATGCTCACTGGAATTAGACTCGGCCTCGTTAAGTTGTAACAGTGGGACGGACAACTTCGGAATGGACATTTTTCCGAACTTGCGCACCCTTTTCCTTTAAAGCTATTATCTTAGGATTTTTTTTAAATGGTGAGGTTTTTATATTTAAATTGATTTATGAAATAAAAAATCCAACATTTTTAGCTAGTTGTTAATTCCAACTTTAAAGTTGGTAATTCGACTTTCGACTTTAACAGGCCCGTAGCAACGGTTTCAAAAGGGGCGGGCAACTTTCCAAAAAATTCTGACATAAAAAAAAACCTAAACTGACCAAAAAGGGGGGGGGGGGGCTTCCCAAAATCATGTGACAAACAAAAAAAAAAACCTATTAACTTACTGTCCAAATCCTGAAATTTGCCAGTGCTCGACCTGACAGCAACAAAAAGTGTGCGGGGTGGCAGCATCTAGAGGAAAATTTACAATAGCAAAATACTATACTCAGAAAAAAGGGGGCGTTCTACGGGCTTGTTTATTGACCAATTTTAAAGTTGTTTTTTCCAACTTTAAATTTGGTAATTCCATCTTCGTACGGCTTTATGCGTTATATTCAGATACATGTACTTTGTAGCTGAACTCATGTTGCTGTTTTATACATGTAATTTCAATGGAAAGAAACGATTTTATTATGAAATTATGATGAAAGAAGGAATTATTTCATTATGTTTTCACATACAGAACTGATACATTTAGTTCAGTTTGTATTTGTAGCATGTAATATAGTGTTGATTCATCCCCTATATTAAACACCAAATCTTTGTTTAAGCTTATTCTCTCATACAAAACAATATATATATATATATATATATATATATATATATATATATATATATATGTAGACGTTGATTTTAATAACAACGAAGACTGGATTCAATTAATATAGATCTATTGCATATTCCATATGTACAGGTCATGTTATGTGTAGTTCTGTAAATAAAATATTTAACAAATAATTCACAGACAAACAAACATACACAAACATCACACAAAACACTGAATTTTCTGGCTAAGGGAAATAACTCCATTTTCCTCATAACTTTAAGGATCATCATAAAATAATCATTTCAAGCATTATATTATGCAATTCATTATCATAAAATAATTTACTTTTCACTATAAACATATCCATTCATAGTATTCAAATGAAATTCTATTTACAACACAAATAGACATCACAATATACACAAACTTCACTAAACACAAAGCTTACCAAATATATGGTAAATGAACCTGATCTTCTTGATGCTTAATTTCTCAGTCAGTCATAACTATAATAAATTATCACATAAAGTAAGTCTGACTGATTATTGGCAAAATATATTTAAAACTCATAAAAAATAATATTTTACAGAAATCTCATTCACATAACTTTCATACATCATGCTCATAATTAATAATGTTAAAATGTTAATAAACTGACCTGTTTAGTATATTTAAATTGTCCATATAAAGTCCATAAGGTCTGGTATACAAAATACACTGCTCATTCTAAGGATCTTTTTTGAATGTCTAAAAAAAATTACTACAATAGTGAGCTTCTCACCAGAGTAGCCAATCAAATACCTGGATCACCCATGCATGAATAGCATGCTTGACTTAATGGGACACACTATGGAAAAGCCTTAGTGTAATAAATATATACAAACGCTCTTACTTATAACTATTTAAAGTATGGAAATACATTATGGACAAAAATTAAAAACAATAAGTCAATGCTGTATTTTTATTAGATAATATCTTTATTAATAAAAACACACGGTCACATTCTTCCCCTGCTGCGAAAAATGTTGTCCCCAACATTCAGCTTTGAATCGGCTATCTACAAGGAAAAATGTATTTAGTCATAAAATCAGAATAAAATATTAATGTACTTCAAGCATAAAACTATAACTATCATGGACTTGTGACTGATTACTTATCTAATATGACATTTATCATGGCTTTAGATAGATCCTTCTTGTCAATTCCTTCAAATATTTCTGTATTTGCCAGTGCTAATAAAGTGTCTATTTTGTTCTTCCATTCTGGCTGTTGGCTGTTTGTTGTTACTTGATTATTGATGGTAAATTCTCCGGTGGTCATCCACCTTGGTTTCTTCCTGGGTCTCAGTGGTCTTGGTGGTCTAGTTGGTGCAGTTGCGCCTTCTGTTCCTTCAGTCTCTGTGTTTTCTGTATCATGCATTTCTCTATTGGTCACTACCGGTAGTGTCTCTTTTGGTTCAGTATGATGAACTTCTCCTGGGTCTGCCTGTTCAGTGGTACCTTCAATCTCTTCTACTCTGTCTTCATCAACTGTACTATGCTCGAGCTGTATTCCTTCTGTATCTTTTGACATGTGACCTTGTCTTTGTTTTCCTTCTGCAGTAGAACTGTCTGTTCTCTGGTCTCTTTGTGATTCCTGGATATCAGTTGTACTGGTGTCGTGATTTACAACCACTACTGATTCCGTCACAAATTCATCTTCTGACTCACTGCTGTCACTCTCTGTTTGTTGTTTCTGTTGTTTTAAAGCTCTGGTTTTGATTCGACGCGGTGCTGGTTTTGGCTTCGACAAATCCTGCTCTGTGGTGTCGATGTTCTGGAATGGTAACAGTAAGTTTCTATGTAATGTTCTTCTTCTTTCGTCATTACTAACAATGAATACCGGAATGGCTGGATTAGGTTGTTCTATAACATCATATGGTGTTTCCTCCCATTTATCTGATAGTTTATGCTTCCCTTCAAATGCTACTTTCTTCACTAAAACTTTATCTCCTGGTCTTATTTCTATGTGTCTTGCCTTTAAATCATATTGATGTTTCTGTTTCTGTTGAGACTTTTCGATGAATTCCTCAGCAACTCTATATGATTCTTTTAGATTAGCTTTTAGGTTTTCGATATACTGATCCATGCTGTTTTCATCTGTTTCTGGTAGGCCAAAAATAATATCTGCTGGTAGTTTTGGTTCTCTGCCAAACATTAAATAGAATGGTGAAAATCCTGTAGAGTCTTGTCTTGTTGAATTGTAGGCATGTACTATTGTTGAGATGTAAGTTTTCCAGTCTGCTTTTTGAGTTGTTTCCAGGGTTCCTAACATTT